TGCTGCTCATTAAGATGTTGAGAGATAGTTACTGTGTGTTGATTGCTGTCTAAACTAAATCCATTTATTTGATAAAGATGGTAACAGAGAGATGCATATTAAGCAAGAACTCACTGGACTGATTCCACCTCAGACCTCCCACTAGGATGACCAGATGTCCCAATTTTATAAGGACAGTCCTGGTTTTTGGGTCTTTTTCTTATATAGGCTCCTACTACCCCAAACCCCCTGTCCCAATTTTTCACATTTGCCATCTGGTCACCCTACCTCCCACAGAATTAGCACCTAGCTATATATAGGAGCATTTTGGAGTCAATTTATTTTACCATGGCTACAAAAGACACACATTTCTGTTTACAGAGGGTCCATGAAAACTCAATCTCTGCTTTGTGAACGATTAAATAAAGAAATGTAACTTTCTGTGCTCAGATATTTCAGCTCCCCTTAGGCCAGAGACAGTGGGGTAAATATTTTCTGTAGATATGCAGCTCTGCTCATATAAATGAGAATTATGCATCTAAACTCCTGTGCATTGTGCTAGATATTTAAGAAAATGGATTTAGGCATAATTTCATCTTGGGTTAAGTTACAATTAGCACTAAATAAAAATTATTCAGGACTAACAGCAAATTGGTAAAGGCTTTGTGTCCAGACATCTATTAAGAGTGCAAGAACTACTATGTGTGTGATTCTAATAAGGATCTAAAGTTGAGTCATTCTTTTTCTGACCTACGATGCAATGTTAACAATTCTCACTATTTTGTCATTAGTCTCACGATACTAGGTGTTCTTCCAAGCTCCTGGGAATATGAGAGAATCTCAGTTTTCATTTCCCTTAGTTGGGGGGAAAAAAGCTGGAAAACATGACCCCTAATTGCTCCAAGTCCAGAAGGCAATTTAAAAGACCCCAAAGTTGTTATTTAAAATCTCATGTTTTTTAAGCCAGTTCATGATTATTTGAGGGCCTGTCTCAGGGCTGGTCTACACTGGGGGAGGAGGGGGGTCGGGGTCGATATAAGATACGCAACTTCAGCTATGGGAATAGTGTAGCCTAAGTCGACGTATCTTATTTCGACTTACCTCGGGTCCTCACGGCTTGGGATCGACGGCCGCGGCTCCCCCGTCGACTCCGCTACCGCCGCTCGCCCTGGTGGAGTTCCGGAGTCGACGGGAGCGCATTCGGGGATCGATATGTCACGTCTAGACGAGACACGATATATCGATCCCCGATAGATCGATTACTACCTGCTGATTCAGCAGGTAGTCTCGACGTATCCTCAGTGGTTGTGGTTAGCAATACTGCTGCATGTTCGAATTGTGAGGAAGCCCTCTGCCATGCTTTAGCAATACCTCCGGCTGATTGGGAAACCGTGTTAACGAACTCCAAAGTATGGTGGAATCTTCCATTGAAAAAAATTGTCAAGTATGACATGAGTTCTTTTTAGAATGGAGGAGTGAAGGGGAGAAATAGGGAGACTCCATGAATCTCTAAGGGGAGACAAGCAAACACGTTTGTACACATATGTTCCGAACACATGGAAGATGTTTTCCCCTTTTTGGTGCACATACTGTCCCTTGGAACTGACATCTCCTCTGACATGGTGTATGGACGTGCTGGTGTCAGTGGTGGGCATTTTGTTTAGCATTGACATAGTGAATAGCCGGTGCATGGCCATGTTTCCTTCCTTCCTTTCTCTGTTATTAACTGGGTAATTCAATTAATTTCAACAGTAACTTACCCAGAACTGCATGAAAGTCCCACAGAGCTTGTCTGCAACAAAGACAGACATGCATTTTCCCCTCCTTATGATTTTTCATTATTTCTGTGTCTGCCTAGAAGTCTTTCTGACGCCTAGAAAAATATCAGACTAGATCATTGTGCTGTCTTCTCTTTTAAATCACATTAATACTGCTTTTGCGCTGACAGATATTAGGCCTTTTAGAAAGCACCATTTCACCTTTATCTCAGCTGCCTACTGTGTTAGCAGCCCTGACTGCTTATTTATGACCTGCTGACTACTTGTCTCTGCTCCAGTATTAGTATCTTTTATAGCCCAGATCTTGTTATAAGAGTGTCCTGGTTTTTCCCTTTCCTGCCCTCTGCCTAAAATTTCATGTGAGTGGCAGTCTAGAGAATGGCAGTATTCAACTGGTCATTCCTGTCCCTCCCATTATCTGGGCCTGATTCTCTTTTACACGAAGACCCCTTGGCACCACTGTGGTGTTTAAAGAATACCACTTTATGACCCCTTTACACAGCCCGAGCAGTATTAAAGAGTCTCCGTGTAAGTGAGAATCGGGCCCTTTTGTTCTCGCTATTGCCAGTTACAGGGCTAGCTGCACTTCTGTCCTCTTTCAGGGCTCAGACCTTTACCTCTCCTGGAGTGAAATGCTAGTTTTCCTGTTCTAATACCAGGCCCTGGGCTGCAGAATCTGTGGATTAACTGTTCTTACCCACCCGAGGTCCAGCTGACCTGGGGTACCTGCAGTTCCTCTCAGTCTGTGATCAGTGGTGAACAGGGATAGTACAGCCTTCTTGAAACAAAAGTGTTGTGTATTTTAACAAACAACAGTCTTGGGAGACAGACCAGTCCTCACTTACAGACAGCCCCCCAACCTGAAGCAAATTCTCACCAGCAACCGCACACCATACAACATAAACACTAACCCAGGAACCTCTCCTTGTAACAAAGCCCAATGCCAACTCTGTCCACATATCTATTCAAGTGACACCATCATAGGACCTAACTACATTGGCCACACCATCAGGGGTTCGTTCACCTGCACATCTACCAACGTGATATTTGCCATCATGTGCCAGCAATGCCCCTCTGCCATGTACATTGGCCAAACCAGACAGTCTCTACGCAAAAGAATAAATGGACACAAATCTGACATCAGGAATCATAACATTCAAAAACCAGTGGGAGAACACTTCAACCTCTCTAACCACACAGTGACAGACCTGAAGGTGGCAATTTTGCAACAAAAAAACTTCAAAAACAGACTCCAAAGAGAGACTGCTGAACTTGAATTAATATACAAATTAGATACAATTAACTTAGGTCTAAACAGAGACTGGTAATGGTTGGGTCATTACACTAATTGAATCTATTTCTCCATGTTAAGTATCCTCACACCTTCTATGGGTCATCTCGACTATCACTTCAAAGGATTTTTTTCTCCTGCTGCTGATAGCTCATCTCAATTGATTGGCCTCTTACAGTTGGTATGGCTACTTCCACCTTTTCATGTTCTCTGTATGTATAAATATCTTCTTCCATTCTATGCATCTGAAGAAGTGGGCTGTAGCCCATGAAAGCTTATGCTCAAATAAATTTGTTAGTCTCTAAGGTGCCACAAGTACTCCTGTTCTTTTTGCGGATACAGACTAACACGGCTGCTACTCTGAAACCTTTATTTTAACAGTGGAACAAAGCATTTAAAGCAAAAGTATTTTAAAACATGTCTTTCTGACCTAAAGGGTTCCCATCCACTGATGGTAACCTAGGCAGGCCAGTATGTTACTGTGTCTGAGTCTCGTTCCCAAAACAACTACTCCCCAATCTCAGTGAATTCCCAGGATTTACTCCTCTGGTTCAGACCAGTCCTGTAGGCTCAGTAGGAGATCACGCCAGAGTCCTTAGGGCCAATAGTTCTGGCATTGTCTCTTAACAATTCTTAAGTGTTTTCTGAGAAGTGGCTTATCTTAAGCCATTGTGTCCCTTCCTGCTTGTGTTTTTCCCGACAGTCTCCTTTTAAACTAAACCAACATATTCACACACTAAACGTCCCAATAACCAGGTCAACATACAGTGTTCATAAGTTATTACAGAACAGCTCCAAATCCATCACACTAGTATGTCCCTTAATATGATTTGAATGTAATTTATTTATATAGTTGGTTTATTTCCTTTTGCGTTTGAAGAGAGAGAGAGGCATTATGCCTGGTTCTCACCAGCATTTTTAATCTGTCATGAGCACTGAAATGCATTCTCATGGGACAGAAGTATTCTCCTGGCGTGAAATTTTGCATTGCCAAGTTCCAGCTTTGAGCAAATATATGCACCACTGAAAATTGTTCATGACAGAAATGCTGACAGAGATCATCAACTGACTATCATGGTACTAACACACACTAATGTAATTTTATTTCAGAGCATTGTCATAATAAAAATTATTTTTGTTTTTAAAAGTCCTTACCTGTGTTGTTAGTACTACTGATCATGCAAACCTTTGCTTTTGAGAGTAATCCATTCAAGGGAACAACTTGCATGAGCAACTACTATTTGTGTGAATAGGGGTTTACAGGATTGGGGACTAGATTATTAAAAACTATTTAAAAAAAATCAAATGTTCTTGCTACCATTTGTGTTGATTGTTTACTTTTTATAAGACCCTTATCTTGGAAATTGAAACTATTTCCCTTCTTTGACCCTTTTCTAGCAGTTTTCTGTAGTATGTTGGTTGCAAAAGCTTCAGACAAATGTTAAATTTGAAATAAATTTTCATCAGTATTTGTGGAAACATTTCAATTCATACACCCTGCAAACTCAACCTGGGATTGGAATATCAAACAGGGCTATTTCTTTCCAACACATTGTTGTTAATGATAATGTTTCTGCAAGCTAAATGATGTATTTAGTGTCACCTGTACAACCCTATTTAAATTGGGCCTGTCAGTTATACCTCATTGTCTCCGCTTCTGCCCTCAGAATACCTGTAAAACTCCTGATCTTCAGATATGCCTTTATTTGCTCCTGTACAACCCCTGTGCCTGTAGGCAGAATCTGGTGTACATTATCCGTATTAGTGATCATAAGGCCTAAGAAGAATTGATTTTTACTTCCCAGGCTGAATTTGTGGGTAGTTGCGGGGGGGGCTGAATTCTGTACTTGTAAACTGATCAAATTAACAGAATATTACTACGAGAAGCTTTACGCATAACCTTGTCATTTGTAGTTACCTATTAACCATACATTGGTATTTTCTTTAATCAGGCCACAGATAAGTGAAGAGCTCAAAGAACTGATTGTAAGGATGCTGGATAAAAATCCAGAAACGAGGATAACGGTTCCTGAGATTAAGGTAAATTCGTCATGAGTGTTATATTTATTTGGAATTGTTTCATATAGTTTCAGTTGGTTTCACATTTCTTATATTACTAGTGACAAAACTTACCAGCATTTCTGTTTTGGGGATATATCAATCAGCATAGCTCAAAGGGTGAGTATATTCACTTTGCTCCATATTTGTATGACTTAAAATCACTCTGATGCTGTTTATTTCTGAGAATATTAATAAAAGGGGATTTTTAATTAAAATTGTTCAAAATCTGGATAAAACACTGATAGCATTTCCCACAAACACTTGTGTAGATTGAAACCTTGCTTTTTTACTGAGATTGCTAACTCCAGTGATCAAACCTGTTTCCTCTAGCAGACATAGATGTGTGTTGCAGTGACTGTGAAGCTGAATACTATACGTGTATGTACCTGTTGTTCATACCATGCTGGCTGTTGTTACAAATGCAGGAATGAGGTCAAGGCATGTAGCATCCATTTCTGTCAACATTACCTTGGTCATTGTTCTGCAAAGCTCATGAATCCAGAGCAACGAACACCCCCTGATAGAGAAAGATGTTCCAGGCTGCTCTGTATATTTTGTTTTAGGACTGATACCATGTTCTGCTATCATTAGTCACTGAGAAGTCTCACCTATTTGAAAAGAGTCAGAGGGCTTGTCTACACTGGCACTTTACAGCACTGCAACTTTCTTGCTCAGGGGTGTAAAAAAGAAAAATCCTGCGCGCAGCAAGTTTCAGCGCTGTAAAGCACCAGTATAGAGAGTGCCCCAGCGCTGGGAGCCACGCCACTCGTGGAGGTGGGTTTTTTACTCTCCCAGCACTGCACTGCGACCACACAGCCACGATAAAGCGCTACCGTGGCAGCATTTTAGCGTTGCCAGTGTAGACTAGCTCAGAGAAACTGAAGTTGAACAAAGCAGGGGTGGGGGTGGATTGACTGTATCTACCCTCTCCTAATTTGCATCTCTGATGTATCACTCTTGTTATTCACAGTTATTTAGGTCTAATTGTTTTGCAAACTCAGTTTGGAATTGCTATTAACAAAAAAAAATCAAGGAAATTATATGGGGGATACATAAGGAAATTGCTGTTTCTGAACCATGTTGGTGCACAGAATACACGTCTCCTAATTGAAATGCTCAGACGACTCAGGTATTCCATACTTTTAATAAAAATGATTTCATTTAGGGTTGACTGTGGTGTTTTGCCTCTGAAGAGGGTTGTTATAAGCATGAATAATCATCTTTGGAATACACAATTTAATTAAGTGCCATAAAGAAGCTCTTTGCTGAGCTCTTGAAAAGTGCTCTGGACACCTGCACTAAACTCCTTTTAAAGTTTGTAGGCAGTGAACATCAGTCTTACTGAATGCTGTGGACTAGTCCCCAGGAGGTAGGCAGGTATTTTTTAAAAGGATACTGGATGCTGTTCTGATTAACATCCATAGGGGCCAGCCCTTGGACAAATCCATTGATATCAAAGAGCCGCACTCTAGTACTGTTTGTTTATACTTGAAACCCCTTGTATTATGCAGCACATTAGACCAAAATTATGCACAGGCCTCCCATGCCCTGAACTGATTTACATGGCATTATGGGACAATGCTAATTAATTGCAAGATCATCTAATAAACCATGTGGTTACTAAACTAGAGGAGCAGGGAGCAGCACAAGAAGGTGAAGTGCCCTCTTGGGAGGGAAAGTGGGAGGCCTGCTGGAAGATGCAGGTACATCTGAGGCTCCTAAACCACATAGGAGTCACTCCTGTGGTGTTTAATTATATGGGAAAGAAGACACATCCTCCGAAAAGCTTCTTCCTGCTCCCTCGTGGTCGTCTGTGCCTCCTTCCACTGCCTGCATCCTTATCCAACAATGTCCTTGTTTGCAATGTAATCCGCCTCCCCTGAAGATCTCCAGATGTTTGGCAAACAAGCTGAACAGCTGGAAGGTGGTAGGAGGGTGACCATGTTTTTTTACTGATGTGGTATGAACATCAGTCTGTGTGGCATCTAGGCAAAAAAGGTAAGTTATGTGGGCAATTGCACAGCCATGTAACCACATCTTGTATAGGGGCCTCTCCGTGACTCTGAAACGTCACATTAGTGATAGGCCAAAATGTTCAGACTTGGGTATCATATTATATGTTTACCTAGGTGGCCTGATTTCCAGAGCTACTGAGCATTTGCAGCAGCATCTAAAGTCACTAGTTGCTGAGTGCTCAGCACTTCTGAAAATCAAGCCACTTGTTTAGGTGCCAAAATTTAGGCCCCCAAGTTTGAAAACACATTATGACACTTTTCCTGGGTCTGCGTTGTTAAAGTGTCTATGTATGTGAGAAAGAGCTGCTGTTGATGACTGGGATTTTCATAGGTTTTGACTGAATTCAGTGGAAATTGAGTGCCTAACTCTTTTAGCCCATTTGAAAATGCCAGCCAATGACAGTTGGTGCTGATGGTCTGTTATGGTCTTATGGTCTCTGTAGAGACACTATGCACAGTCGCTGGAGTGCAGCAGACCCTCTGAGTTAGCCCTGTTGATTCAGCACATGCTAACCTATGTGGAAAATGGAGCCATACTGACTCGCAGCTTGTAATAATAATCAGCCCTATATTCATTATTTCCCCATATTAACTAACATCCATACTTGGTGAAGTACAAGGGACAAACACATTTAGGATTCTCTGCAGTGGCTTGTTCACATCTTTCTTTTTGTCCCTTTTCTATGTAGTTGCATCCCTGGCTAACAAAGTTTGGGGAGGATCCGCTGCCTCTGGAGGAAGAGCATTGCACTGTGGTGGAGGTGACTGAGGAGGAGGTGAAGAATTCCGTCAAGACAATCCCAAGCTTGCCAGCTGTAGTAAGTGTAAACAGGAGCTTTCTAAGGTTTTATGTTCCAGGAGATATGTCACTTTCTTTGAGCCATCAGCCTGTGAAGTAGTCTCAACGTGAGGGATAGACAAATGTCCAGTGTATGATGTGCGTGATTTAGCCATTCAAGTCAGCAGACGTTGTTCATGCCTTTGAGCTGTGCATTTACCGCAAAAGGTTTACTGGTAGCGCAACACACAGGGGGCCTGATCCTGCAGCCCTTATCCATATGAGCATTGCCGTCAAAGGGGCTACTCAGATAATAGGTGCAGGGCCAAGCTCCCCAGGTGGCCAGCACCAGAGGAAGTGAATGATAGAAGAAATTCAAATTTGGGAAGACTTATTACCAGACACATAAGACTCCAGTCCCAACACCACCACTCCTACTGGAAAAAGGGAGAGCAGTGAGGGAGAGTAAAGGGTTGTTTGCATTGTTTGCTGTGCAGCCGCCCGTGTACACAGACAAGGAAAGAAGCAGAGCTGCAAATGGCTCAGAAAATCCAGCATAGGACACGCTCTGGTAGTTGTTGAGCATATTCTCTTTGGATCAGCAATAAGGGCCTGATCAAAAGCCCATGACATCAATGGGAGTCTTTTCATTGACTTCAGTGGGCTTAGTACCAGGCTGTAGGTGCCTGTAGCAACTCAGTAGACACTAGGCACCTCTAGAGATATAGCCCTGAGAACTGGAATCCTCTTCTCTTCCCATTTTGAAGGCAATTTAATCATATGGCATTTTCCCTCTAGAAATAAATGTGTGAAACCTTTTCTCACAAAATCTTCTATGTGATGGAATAATAAACACACTGCAAAATATTGACCTCCAGGTTTAAAATAAATAATTAAAATTACAATGGGTAGTTAAGAACTCAGCCTTTCTGCTTTAGGCATTTAAACACTGGGCTCCAGTGTCGGGAGTTGAAAGACTTGCTTCCCCTTTATGAGAGGTGTCCTGGCAGGTTTAAAAAAATTTGTTTTATGAAAGGAAAAGATGAAGTTGTAATGAAAAGGGGACACTTTACTGACTGCAAATTGAGGTTATGCTTAAGTGTGCGTGTGGTGACCAGATGTCCTGGAATTGACATATGAAGTGCAGTATTCCAGACAAATATAGGCCATGGTCCAGAAAAGTCTTCCTGGCATAAAGCTAAATGCCTGCTTTTCAGTTATTGAAACAAAATACTGTTAACGTATCCTCACTAATTTAAAACGCAAAGGAAGGTAAGCCAGGTCTAAAGCCTGGTGGCTTAAGAACTTCCACACATGTGGGAGGAAAATACTAATACTATCCCATAATTTGGGGAAAAAATACATAGACCAGAGCTACAGCTGGTGTAAATCAGTGTAGCTCCATTGGTTGGCTTCAATGGAGCTACATCAATTTACATCCGCTGAGAATCTGGCCCTATGTTTCTCTACTGATTTTTAAAATGCAATCACTGAAATATTGCAGAATTTGTGAGCCTACCTAATCACCATGAGCCAGCCACCCCCCTGTGTCTTTTAGATAAGATTTAACTGTAAAACTTGTTCTAAGGTGGCTCATGGGTTTTCCCCCGAAGGCAGAGGGTTTCTCTTTTCCTAAAATATTTGTTAAATAGTGAAAGTCAAAATGCCAGCCTATTTGACAGCCCTGGAAACTTCGGTACTCTGTTTATCCTCGTGCATCTCCACAATATCTAAGGTCTTATACTGTGCTTATAGTGATGGTATCTGATATTCTTCAGGGAATCCTGATACCTAGAAATAGAAATAATAAGATCTGTTAGTAACAGAGATGGCCCCAGACCTAAATACCGTGCACCTGACTGGAGTTAAGGATTGGGGGCGTACAAAATCTGAACTTGAATCTGAATGTAAATTTGGCGGTTAATCCCTCTAGGGGGGGATGATTGTGACAATTTCTTCACCCAGCCACTGAGGTGGTGTGGCTATTTACCTCTCCTTATTTGGGGCTAGTGATAAAACCAAATTCTAACCTTTAATGACTCTCACAACTTCCATATGAGGTAGATAAGAGAACATTATTATTTCCATTTTACAGATGGGAAAAGGGATATAAAGTGGCCAGATCCTCAGCTGGTGTAAATCAACATAGTTACATTGAAGTAAATGAAGCAAATTCATTTATGCCAACTGAGGATCTGGCCAAAGAGGTTTAAAGTGACTTCCCAAGTCACAGAGAGAGAGCTGGAACTAGATCTTACGAGCTCTTAGCTCCCAGTCCTGTGCTCAGGCAACCAGCCTGTTCCCTTCCCTCTAGTAAATAGGTGTTGACAATATTCATATAACTATTTCTAGGAATGCTTTGCAACTTCAGTAGCCAATGGGTCAGCATTTATACCAAACAGAAACCTAAGGGCTATTATACAGATCCCTTTAGTTCAGTTTTTAACTGTGAAATGGGTTACAATTTTATTAAATTATTAATGAAGTAATCATTACATTCCTCTGATCTAGTGCTTAGAGCAGCATTATAAAGATGACGAAAACTCTGTGCCACCTATCTTCTCTGATCTGATTTTCCTTCTTCAAAGATTTTAGTGAAGGCCATGCTAAGGAAACGCTCATTCGGAAACCCATTTGAGGTTCAGGCCAGAAGGGAAGAGAGGTCCATGTCTGCTCCAGGAAACCTATTAATGTATGTATATCTACCTCTTCTAGTGCTCAGCCTGAGCTGTATACGGCCGCTTCAATGAACAAAGTAGCGTGGGAGGAATAATGGAAACTGTTTTCAGATAATTTCCTTAGAATGTAAAGGCGAAATTCATGTGGAAATCAGTCAGTGGAGTTACACTGGGGATGAATAAGGCCTCAAGTGTCATTTGGGGTTGAAGTATAGTGAAACATCCACCTTAGAACAAAGGAAACATTTCTTTGTATGGCTGCAGCTACTTCCATCTGTAGGGCCACATCCTGAGCTGATGTAAATGAATGCAGCTCCGTGGAGTTTAGAAGAGTTGCACCCATTTAGAGCAGCTCAGAACTATCTTTTTAGCCAGTGTGTTTATTATATACTGTGTGTAGTTTAAACAGTACCCAAACGTCAAGCTAGTAAAGTACCCTTCTATGAAATTCAGCTAGGTTATTTAATTCTTACGTAAGTAGCGTCTGCTCTGCTGTCCATGAACAACAGAAGTAGGAGGTTTGGAGAAAGAGGCCAGCTGAGTCATCTAGACATTAAAAAATAAAAAAACCTGTAAAACTAGAAGCATGCTGATATATTTCAGCTCTGCTCTGGAAATCAGTGACCCATGTAGTTTGTGCAAACTGGCAAACATGCACATCCTGGACTGGAAGCCAGTGAGTGACACCTTTGACATTACGTTATTGGTATTGTGGGAACCAACAAAATGTATCATATGTGATAAACCAAGCTACAGTACATAGCATACATGCATCATGCCCAAAACTCAGCATCTTCCATGCTAAACAAACACCACTCTTAGCAGATTCCCAAAGATGCTGATAACTTTTTATATATATTAACAAAATTACCTAACTACATCTTTGGAAATAGTCTTTTCTGTCACCAGTGTGTAGGGATTTCAGCGGGTTGCTCTCATTAAAGATGAGGGGACTTGAGAGCCCAATCCTGTACTAATGAAGTCAGAAGCAGTTTTGCCACTGACTTCAGTTGGAGCAGGATCCAGGTAATGTGCAAATCCCCAGCACGCAATAGAGCCTAGATCAGTTAGGCCTTGTCTACACTGCCACTTTACAGCGCTGAAACTTTCTCGCTCAGGGGTGTGAAAAAAACAACCCCCCTGAGAGATGCAAATTTCAGCGCTGTAAAGTGGCAGTGCAGACAGTGCACCCGCACCAGTTACTCCCCTCGTGGGGGGTGGGTTTTTTTTACAGTGCTGGGAGAGCTGTCTCCTAGCGCTGGTGCCGCGACTACATAGCAGCGCTTTAACGTTGGTAGTGAAAACATACCCTCAGAGTGTTCAGACAATGTTGTGCGATAAAGACTGATCCTCATTAGAACTTCTCATAAAGCTGGGAAGAACTGATCTTGAGGAAAAGGCATTTAACTGTAAGGATTTTTGTTTGATACTTGGGTCAGGGATATTAGCCAGGACCTTAGCCTAATTTTAACTCACAGTTCCCTGTATGAGACACCCAGGCCAAGTTCCAACTCCCATACGTTTCCTTAATTAGATTTTGCACAACAGATGGTAACACAGGACCTGCCATACACTGTACTAGTCAGATGTCTGGCGCCATCTAGCTGAGTGTCCTATACCTCTAGCTATCTGCCCAGATCCTTACAACATCCAATTAGATACTTTTCTCCTTTGTATCCACCTCCCTTCTCCCATCTACTATGGGAGACTCTTCCAGAGGTAGGAAAGTTAAAGGACCTTGATTACCATAAAGAAGCGTTTTGCTTTTTATATTTTATTGCCTTAACCTTTTCAGAACCAAAAGCCTGCTGTAAATCTACCTCATGATTAACCAACTGTGGATAATGAACAGCACTCCTAATCCAAAAAGGAAAGAGTTACTGCAGTTACATGTTGAATTGAACCTGGCTAACAACAGAAGCACTTCTAGCCTTAGAACCTTACCTAGAACAGGTTTTTCATATCTTTTTCCCAGGGACCCAATCCTGTGAGGTGCTGAGTGCTTCCTTTTAGGGTTCTGAGCATGCTCAAATCCCATTGAAATTTGGCCTGTAGTGAGTGCAAAGATGTACCATGCTCTCTGAGTTCTGCTGCCAGTTTCCTGAAGCTCACTGATTTTCAGTCTACAAACTGACAGTTTCAATCCAGGCTGGCAAGCGAGATGTCATCCAAGAGACTGCTCTATATGATGTGATTTTGAGCTTCAAGTACAGTCTCAGGGACATGTCAGAAGAGCATTTCAAATGTGGATACTTCATCAGCTTAGCGGGAAGAGCTAATCTTCACTTTATATAACTCTCAGACCATCACCTTCCTTTCCTGTTACTCTATGATGTTGAGACTTTACTGAGTCTAAAGAAAAATACCAAATAGCTGTCACACCCTCCAGAGTATTTAACTCAGGGGAAGCAATGGGTGCTTTTTTTTCCCCCTTCAAATCTTATCCTAACTGGTATATTAGAATTTTCTCTTGTTCTCATAGATATCACTGAGATACATAGAAATAGCCATACTGGATTAGACCAGTGGTGCATTTAGTCTGTCTGACAGTAATCAGTGCCAAATGTTTAAGAGGAAGGTAGCATAAGAAACCCTTTAGTAGGCAATGATAGAATAAACTACCAGTAGGAGATGTTTCTTCCTGACCTCTTATGCCCTGAAGCATGAGAGTTTATATCCCTTCTAAAAAAATCTTTATCCAATCTGTCTGATTTTTTTTAATCTTATTAAGCTTCAGTGACAGGTTGTATACCTCTATTGTGTCCCTTTTATCTATCTCCTCTCTAAATTGAACAATTCTGGTCTTTTCAGGTTTCTTCTTGTATGGAAGCTTTTCTGCACTTCTAATCATTTTCATCCACCATGTCTGGACTTAGTTTCCTTAATAGCCTCTTGTGTGGCACTGTGTCAAAGGCTTTTTGAAATAAATTATGTCAGCTAGTTCTCATTTATCCACTATTGTGTTGGCTTGCTCAAGGCACCTGATTTACAATAATGAGCCAGTTCACTGATTGAATCAAAGCCAATTTGTGGTTGTGCCAAAGCAAGGAAGTTTATATCTCTTCTTTAAAAAAAAAACGTTATCTTATCTATTGTGACCTTTGTGTGTGCAAGTGCTCAACTGTGCTGTCCTCTTACTTAATTGTACCCAATCAGCTTATGTGCTATCATGCAATCAGCATTTCTGGCACCTTCCAGTAATGTTTGATTACCCTAAATTAAGACTTGCAAAAATGGACCTTGTGGACCAGCACAGGAATGTTTCTAATTAAATCAAGAGACATTGACACATCAGACAGTATTTCTTACATACAGTGATGTATTTAACACTGTAAACAGATAATTTAAAAGAATATGGATTTTTCTTTTTATATATTGTAAAAGTTAGATCAGTGCATGAATGAAAGAGATGTAAGCTTCTTCTCTTTCCTTGTGTTTTGCTTCATTGCATTTAAGAAAATACAGAAAGCAAGAGACAAAGCTGTTTTATTTCTATGAAATCTATGAAGTGGGAGTGTTCATTGTACTAAGTGAATTATGTCTTGATTACACTCAGTACATTTGCAAAGAGAAATTGTGCTAGATATTAAACCCATGCTTCATGCCATCCATTTACAATGGATTGTTCTGTATAAAATCATCTCCAATATAAAAGTAAAATAAAACATAAAAGTACATGTTATGCATGGTTCCAAGTTAATTAAAATAAATCTAGAACAAGTGTAAAGGATAACAAACTTCTAGGAGCTAACAATGTTAAATGACATTGTTACAGTATAAGGGCTTGATATTGCAAAGTCTGGCCCTGATCCCACAAAGCACAACTTTAAGCACATGAGTAGTCCCACTGAAGTCATATATTACATATATTTGATTGGAGGTCATAGTCGTACTCAATGTGCTCTAATTTAAGCATGTGCTTAAATCCTTTGCTGGGTCAAGGCCAGAGTGCTCAGCATCTTGCAGGATTAGTCCAAAGGCAATATTGTGTATGCTGCTTCGGAAGTTCACGTTCAGGGACAATGTGTGTCTTCAGAATGGTGGGATAGATTCTCACCTGGTATAAATCGGAGTAGTTCCATTAACTTTAATGCAGCTATGCCACTGATACCAGCTGAATATTTGGCCCATTTAGTCTTTAAAGCAAGTACACATAATACAGAGGGACGGTTATACTGTAGGGTGGCTGATCTGTTATATGCCTGCCACTATCTGCCACCTGTCTTCAGTACATACAGCATCGACACTGATGCAGCTCTATTATCCAGATGGCCAGTGAGCTGCTCTGTATGTCCCATTTGAGCCAATATCCATGTGAGCATTTGGTTTATAAGAAAAAGAAAACATGACACTTTCACCTAATGTATCTAAAGTAATTTGTATTCAGTCCTATGTAAGATTCATCTTCGTTATATAGGGATAGCTCTCATTTTAAGAATTTAACTGTTCAATTAGTCTGCAGAAAGATAGTAACTTTGCAGAAAGTACAAATCCTTTTGACAGCACCCACACTTGATCTTCTAGTCTTGTGAAAAGTGTGATAGGATTGTAAAAGATGCAGGTGTTCAGAACTTTGGCTTTACATCTCATTGAGCAGGCAGTATCCTCAGCGTCACAGTTCCCCCTACAACCATGTGTGTGTCCAGTGGTGACTGAGAGGGAACAATACCTCCTACTGAATTGCTCAGATCAGTTCCTAGGAGCTCTGGGTATCGCTGAGCACACCAGCACCCACTGGTCTCAATTCTGCTGTCCTCACTCAAACAAACCTCCCATGAAAGCGACATTGCAGACTTCAGGATTTGGCTCACTCATGTTCCTCAGTGGGAATTGAGAGCACTTTGCACGATCTAATCGTGAGCCTCTGTGTGCTGACAACACACTGGAAACCAAAGTGCAACCTGTGTCCCCTTTATTATATTAAAGGTATCTCTATTATATTAATGAAGCAAACAAATTTCAAAAAAATCCCAGCGCTGTTTTTCCACAGCCCTGACTGTACTGTCTTTGAAGTGTGGTAAATCAGTGATTGTAATGTTGCATTTAGTTCCAATTATAGGAAGGAAAATTACTTTCATGTTCCTATATAGGAAAAAAGAAAAGCAATTAGAAAAGTTTCCCAATTTCATGTTCCATTTGTGTAATTAGGCTGCTTGTAAAATAGTTGGGGGTTTTCTAAGCCATATGCACTGGGTGCTGCTGAAGTCAACTTGCATCTGCGCCAATGTCAAGAATCTTCCTGCAATAAGCCTTTTGACAGCTGAGTTAGCTTTTCAATATCTGGTGCCTAATTAACATTTCTGAAAAGGGATCTGCCCTTTAGAAAAAGAGAGGAAGATGCCAATTTAACAGCCTACTTATTGGGTTTCTTAGGTTGGAAGCTGCCTGACTTAATTAATTTCTTCACGATCCTTCTACTACCTGCTCACAATATGCCAAGCTCTATTCTGGGAAATGCTTAGGGAAGAAGATGCAGATCAAAGTTCTTTGCAATAGCAGGAGGCCTTTCATAGCTGTTACAGATTTTGGTCCTTAAATGGCCCTGTTTAAAAATAGTTTTTAAATTCATGGAGAGGGCTTAAATTCTTCAATTCTTGTAAAATTTTGAAAAATCCTTTCCTGTTTGCTATTTATTTCTCTACTTAGATGTCTAGAAATGTTTAAAAGGCACCCATGCTTAGGTATTTGGCAATATATTACAATTGAATGGAGCTAAAATGAAGACGGCTGTTTTTAGCAACACTATTTATATAGCTTCTGCCTCAGGCAAAAGTACCACTGTACACCTACATCACTGATTGAGCTTGGAACTGTGTTTAACTGCTGCTACAGGTCACAAAACACTGTGAGGCTGATCTCCTGGCTCTCACTTTGGTCCCTACATGCTGCTCCAGTACACAGGCAGCACAGAAAAGATTGCCATAAGATAGAGCAGCCCTGAAGGCTGCTCTGACTTATGCTGGGGAGGGGGGGTCATTTTGGTCACAGCAGCAGCTTCCTGGAATCTGAGCTGCTCAGAGGTAGTGTAAAGCCATCTGTAACTCCCCTCTGGGCTGTTCTGTCTGTGCAGAGTCTCTCAGGAGATCTGCACTGAATCTGACCCTTTGTTTTTTTTAGATCCTACATGCTATGGGCCAAATTCAACTATGATGTACCTATTACTTCAGTGGAGCTACATTAGGGATGGATTTGGTCTCTTGCTTTTAAATTTCCCAGTCACTGAATACAAGTTTTTAAAAATCCCAACTGTTTAGGGTTCTCAGTTAGCTTCCATTGTATACATCTTTATTATAGGTGTGTAGGTTCCCCACCTGAACCAGATTCCTCTATTAATGCAGCCATAATTTCACTGCATTTATTACTCTCATTTATTACTGCTAACACATCTCAAATTAACTGAAAAATGTTTTGGCAGATCCACTATACTTGCACATTAAGCACTGCTTTGCTGTTGGTAAAGTGTGGTTTTCAGCTACCATATACATGGGATTATTCTTATTAGTTACAGAACTTGATCCTATTCCCACTGAGAGATCAGATCACAAGGTCCATGCCCTGAGGAGCTTACAGTCTAAATAGAGAAGACACAGACAGGGGATGAGGGCAGCAAGATGCAAAGTGACCAGTGAAGCGGGGTGCTCAAACAATCTGTGGAGTGGGGGTGATGAGAGTTATTGAACCAAACTGTAAACCCTGTATATAATAGACACCACTTTCAGTCAGGGGGTGTGGCAGCATCCCCAGCACCCATAGTTCCAGCACCTATGCAGTGAGGTTTAGCAAATGGCTGTAACAAGGGAGCTTTTCATCTGAGAGTCGCTGGTTCAAACAGGGCCAGGTTAGCCATGACTGACTGGTGGCTTTTTGGTCATATGTTAATGAGTTAGCAGACTCAGTTTAGTTCTTGTTAACAGGTATCCATGTCCCCACAAAAAGTTGTCGGGTTTATTGACAGTCTCAGCAGAGTCCAAGGACTGAATAGCCCAGGACCTGTTCTCTCCATGAGCGGCTGGTGACTCCGCCGCCCGGGAAACCTAACCACCAGCCCCTCCCCGTGTGCCCGAGGCCCCGCCCCTCCCTTTCTAACTCCCCTTCCCCCACAGGAGCCCAAAGCACCCCCACCGTGGCCCCCCAGCACCGGACGGCCAGGGGTGGGGGACCAAGGCCCCAGCCCCGGTGCGCCGCAGCCTGAGCACCCCCAGCCCCTGGGTGGCGCGGTCACAGTGCCCCCAGTCCCAGTGCTGCAGGTGGCCAGGCAGCGCGGTCGCCGCACTCCCAGTCCTGGGGCTCTGGGCAGCACGATCGCTGTGCCCCCAGCCCTGGGACTCTGTGTGGTGCAGTCACTGCACCCACAGCTCCAGGGCTCCGGGCGGCCCCTAGTCCCGGTGCTCGGGTGGCCAGCACCGGGCAGGCAGCGCGGCCCAGCACCGGCAGCCCCGAGTCACTGCAGCTGGCCTGCCGGTGGGGCCACAGTAAGCTGTTTGGGGAGGCAAAACCTCCCTTGCCTACAATACCCGCCGCCCCTGACTCTCTCCAAAACTCAATTGAGGCACATTGGTGGGGCAGCACGTGCAAGACTTTCCTTACCAGTGCTGTGCCTATTGTGCTGAGAGAGGATGCCAGCTCCCAGGGCTATCACTACAGCACCTTTTACCAAAAATACATTCAGTTTTAAAACATATCCTGTTGACACTTGTAGCCAGGTTAAAGGCTTTATTGTTGATGGTATTGGCAGGAGACTGGCTGCAGAAAGGATGCCAAGTTTGACTTCACCCTTAATTTCACAAAATATGTGTTTAAGTGGTACATCTACACAGCAAAAAAACACCCCTGCAGTAAGTCTCAGAGCCCTGGTCATGCAGTAAGTCTCAGGGTCTGGGTCAATTGACTTGGGCTCATGGGGCTTGCGCTTGGGGCTAAAAATATCAGTGTAGATGTTTGGGCTCAGGCTGGAGCCTGGGCTCTGAGAATGAGGAGGAGGGTCTTGGAGCCCAGGCACCAGCCTGAGCCCAAACGTGTACACATTTTCAATGGAAAATCCTGTGCAGGTAAATTTCACACTCATATGTTTTTCATTGCAAGGGAAGGATGAGTGCTTTTATTAAAAGCTATGGCTCATATTGTGGCAAGGGTAAGTATTATTATAGTCTAACTAATGGTTTATAGAATAACTTCGGCACAAAATTTCACAACCTCTCGTTACTCTAGAAGCATCACATGCAGAAGCACCCATCATCTACTCAGTGGTTTAATTGCCTAACTCCTGCTCAACTTGTGTCCTTCGGCAGTTAATAACACGACATGTTCATAAGACTTCTACATGCTAGGGACACAGACCCGTATGCTACTGAACACCCTCAACTCCCACTGATTTCAGTAGGTGTTGATGGCACTGAACAGCTTGCTGGAAGCAATTGGCACCCTGCAGGATCAGTTGCTGTTAGCACAGGTGATTACTCCAGTATGCACAGCACTGCACTATGGGTGGCAGTATTAACTGTCATGGTTTTTTATTTGGTCTTTAGCCTTAGTAAACATTGCTGACTAATACCCCATCCTCTATTTAATTTCATTCCCTTAATATTCAGAAACGTGCTCATTTGCCTTTTGCCAGCATCATCTTTACCATTTTCTTCCTTTATCTCATTGTTTGCCCTTAGGGACAGGTTCCTCTTAAGCTCATCTGTATATTTGCATCCATCTTTAAGGTAACTGTGTGTTTGTGTTTCCCCTGGGTGCAGTAGAATTATAAGTCCTATCTTCAGTTGTCATGCTTTCTGTGTTACTGAGAACATAAAATTCCATCCTTCATATAGGAGCAGTTTTGTTACAGTAGTTATGTAGTTTGTTACAGTATTTGTGTGTGTGTGTGTGTGACACTAACATTCATTCTCTAAGTTACTTGAGATTTTTCTTGGTCATGTTTCCTCACTCTTCTTTTTTTTCTTTTGGGAAGGATGGGAGAGGGAGACTTGGTGAGTATTAGCGGAGATGGGGCTTAATCCAAAATCCTAGATCCAATACCCACAAAATTTGGGAATCAGATCTGAACTTGCAGCTCAGGCCCATCTCTAATATTTAGAACTTATGAAAGATTAATAGATGTGGCTACAACCAAATATGCAGCAGGCAATTCTACCAATACCTCTACTCTTCAAGTTTCTGGGACTCTGCTGTGATGAGTTGGGGATTGGTCCTGCTTTGAGCAGGGGGTTGGACTAAATGACTCCTGAGGTCCCATCCAACCGTGATATTCTATGCTTCTATGACTGATATGGACAAAACCTCTTGGTCTACATTTCAACATTCCTCATATCCATCAGGTCTTAAGCAGACAGCATGCGTATTTTGCAACAGATTCCACAGATCTGTCCACAAAGTATGCTGTCCAATTTAAAACAACAACAACAAAATAATGTAGTTAATGTAAACCATTAGAGATGATTAAAAAAAGACATCTCAGTGCAAAATCCCACTGTGCACAGCCAGCTCAAAGCCCAGTTATTCTGCCTGGAGTTTGACAGAGATGGTTTCAGATGAATGCTTGGAAATTAATCATGTCTCTTGAAATTCCATTTGAGCAGCTCCATTATTGTGGAGACAATTGTTTACTTAGGAGCTCATTTATCACTGTAAAATAAATAGATTAATCAAACTAGGGACACCTCTTGGTGCAAGAGTGAAGGATTTTGAAAAGATTCTCCAAAAGTACTGGGAAGGAACTGAACAGAATAAAGGCTGATGTCGCACTTTTATTGGCATTTGGGTTGTGATACATGGGACTGTTTTCAATTTTGAAAAAAGAGAAAGTTTTAGTGTAAGTAATTTTCTTTTCCACTTGGATGTACAGTTCAGGAATTCATAGACAGGTCCACTGAAGTCAAAGGAAGTTTTGCACTTATGATGACTTAAAAGACCATGCTCAGAAAATCAAGCTCAGGAGAAACCCCCTGTATCAGCATCCGTTAAGGCTAGAGAGATGTAATAAAATACGAAAGTTCACCACTTGGCCCGTGATACTTGGTTTCAGCCACAGCCTCCTGTTTAGCCCTAACAGCAGCATATGCATGGTCTCCCAGTAAGGGCATGACTGAGGCATGTCTATGTTGGAAATTCACCCTGATTCCAGCCATCTGTGGCCAGTTGGCTCCATTGAAGCGTACCTTGGTTTCAAGTGCGGGTAACCTCAATCTGTGCAAATTGAGGGTTATCTTGCCAACACTTATTTTGCACTGATACGGAGACTGCAATGGCTGGCCAGAGATGGCTGGAACTAAAACAAATTGCCAGTGCAGACAATGCTTGGGTTTTGGAATGAATAACACAGACTGGTGCAAATGAAACCTGTGATTGATTCCTGATTAATAGACCTCAGAGGTGCAACAAACTGTTCACAAGAGAGATGCTGCCATTGTTCTGAAGCAATTTTTCTTTAAATACATAGGCCCAAATTCTCTTCTCAGATACCCAGGCACAACTCCTGCCTGCTTCATTCTCATTGACATTCTGCCTTCATTCCCACAGAAGTCAATGGGCGTTCCAAGTGCATAAATGAGGACAGATATTGGCCCATAGTGAAGGCATAGATGGCATTAGGAAAGAATTCTTATCAGTTAACAGGACAGAGCGTGAGTGAGCTATGACTGAACATGGGACTAGGAGCCATGACTCAAATACTGATTTGTTGTCTCTTTGCCTTTCTATCCTAATTTTACTATCCGTTATGTTGTGAAGCTTGCACCATTAATGTACAAAAATTGCTAGTTGAGTGCCATGTGTTATTACCACTATTAACAATGGTCTCAACAGTGCAGCATGTTGGATAACCGCACAGAGCAAGGTTCATTAGCCTGCTATTAACAAAAGTAACACAAATACAAAATAACACCTTAAGAAAAGCTATTTAATGGAGACTAGCATTTAGCCTCAGTCCTCTCAGCATGTACTCATGTCTCCTATGTGGCAGCACAGACCGCAGACTACTTACTGCAAGATCACCCCAGCTGTCTGTAGAAAATGAATTTAGTTGATATTCAGTATTGTATTGAATGTTTTGTCAATTTATGCTGTATTGCACCCATTCCACATCGTGTGGATCACATTGCCTTTAATGCTAAAACAAGGTGTACAGACAGGTATCAGCTACTGAGAATTACAGGGAAACATTTAATCTGATTCTTCAAATTGCAGACAGTAGCAAATAGTACAAAATGACAGCAGGCTCTAAATAACCAGTGAGACACCATCTGCTGCTGAATTATGCTTGCCGTTATCCCACTGCACAGACCTGCTTGCATTATATCTGATAATGAAACCTCCTTTCCTGTTCACGGTAATAAATCATTTAAAGAGGGTGATGACAGCCCCTGAATTAACTCGGATCAGCCACTGAAGACGGATCTGTTACTCAGCATGTTGGTGTCAGGCCTGAAAGTGCATTGGGAAATGGTCAATTGTCTATATTCAAGGTCAGGTTTATCACCGGGGCTGTGATGGTGCACTTAGGAATGGAATTATGCTTAATGGCAACCATTCTTTTTTCTGTTTCACTCTTTAAAATAAAGGAATGCTTATGTCTGAGCTGTGATACAGCTTCAAACTAAATGATAAGGTGTGATGTCCAAAAAAATTTCACCTGACCAGTTTTAAGAGTTGACTAGCCTTGCTACCTCTCCTAGGCTGTCTTCACTGCAGAGTTAACTCAAGTTACCTACATTCTAGTTACTTCCTCTCAAGTTAGCCTAGCTCAGGTGAGAGCAGACATATTTTGAAATAACACTCGAGCCACAAAGTGTGATTGTATTAGCAGCAAAGTGATTGTGTTAGCACTTGACAAGTTGCACTACCTTGAGCTGGAGTCTTTACCACTTGACAGGCTTGCCAACTGTTCTTCGAGTATAAGGTGCATCTCCAATAGAACAATGTGTTAGTATAGCTATACCAGTATACCTATACCAGCAAATCTTTCTAGTGTAGACAAGGCCTTAAAAGCACCACCACAGCTGAGTTAAGGGGTTTTGTGTGTGGATGGGACTCAAGTAGGGGCAACATTCAAGTTGGCTTTGCAGTTGAGACAAGCTATCAGTCTCTTGAATCTGCAAGAGAGGAAGTTGAAATTTAGGAGCATTCTGAAAACGCTGAAGACTTTGTGAAGTAAGACAAATATAAGTAAGTTACCTTCAGTTTGGTTTAGTGGCTAATACTGAGCAAGTTTTGCTTAGACTTTTTCAATAAATTATCAGAAATTGGAAACTGAAAATTTTTGGTAAAACTTTTGAATTATCAGGAACAATTTTGAGTTTTTGTAAAAGTGTTCAGCTTTTGGTGTAGTTTTCAGTAAATATTTTCAGTTTTTGGATTTCAAAATAAAATTTTTTTTATTGAAAACCTATTTTTTTCTTTAAAACATTTTAAAAACTAATATTTTCTAGTTTGGGTTTTGCTTGGAAAGGCTGAAAAAAGTGGGAAATTTTGGGGGGGAAATTATATAATTGGCATTTTAATCAGCTGCCGTGTGCAGTTGAGCTTTGGAAAAAGGGTTGCAGGTGTCAAACCATAAAATCAGTGAAACAAGTAGATTTTTAAAATATACGCCAAATAAACTTATAAACATTGCTGCCTTTCTGTATGTCTGTTTCTGAGACTTAAATCTCTTGTACTAGTGCAATAAAAAGGAGTTGAGAATGTATTTTGACAAAGTAAGCAGCTGTAGCCTCATTATACAAAGTCTTATAATACTTGATCAGTGCACTGATGTTGATGCATTTTTCTTTATCACAGTTTAACTGTTTACATGGTATACTTCTTAAGGAAATACTGTTTTGTCTGAACGTCATCCTTCATATAGTTATTGATGTTATTGGTTTGGCTTGCCTATTGGAGAAAACTACCTGGTCTAAATGCCTATTTCTAATTATTTACTTCACTTCATTCATTCATGTAGAAAGCAAGGGAGCAGAGAAGGAGTAAAGGACCCTGATCTCCCTGACGTCTGTGAAGATGAGGCTACTTCCTGAAGCCATGTGCATGTCCTGGATTGGTTATTTACTCCTGTTGTAACCATTGTGTTGTGTCGCACACATTCTGCTCTCATGAACCAAAGTTTGTGACCTGAAAAACTGAAATTGAAAAGAGGAAACAACCAACAACAACTAACAGTGCGAGTTCTTTGGAAATGGTTTACTCATGGAATGCTATGTTGTATTACTGGCTTCATTCAACATGTAAGATGTTTCTCTGTATTTGACATGTGCCGCATTCTCCATTTGTGCTTCAGCCTACGTTGTGTGGTCATTATAGTCTGGTATCTTGACCAATGAATGTCTTTTTATTTATAATTCAAAGAACCAAACTTTATCTAATAGGGTACTTGCCATCAAGATGTTTTCCAGCTTTTTGCATTCTGCATTCAAAGTTCCAAGAAAAAAGATATGCAGTAACCAGGTCTCCTGTCTTAGGTTAACTTTTATTTATTACTCAAGCACTTACCTTTACTGGGGAACAGTCTTACTTCTGCTGAAGTCAATGGCAAAATTCCTGTTGACTTCTGTTAAAGTAGGATGAGATCTTCCACTGTGTAATTCTTTGTGCTTTTTGTTTTTTCTTATTTTTGCATTATATGACTCCTTTTAACATA